ACCGGCACGAGCCAGCTGCTCGACGTGCTCTCCACCAGGTTTGGTTCCGTCGATCGCTCCGCCGTCGTCGTCCAGTACAACGGCCTCAGCATCGCTAACGTGCACCTCACCGGCGGCCGCTTTGACGACCGCGGCTTTGAGGCCTACGTCGACGCCAAGTCGCGCGAGATTGATAACATTGTCTCCAAGTGGGACCCCGACCTCGTAGTCGGCGACTTCAACGCCGACACAACAGTGCACCAGGCGGACCGCGCAGGCCAGGCCCTCGTGTGCGGCTACACCAGCCTGCCACAATCCACCAAGGCCACGTTCCGCTCCTACTACGGCGATGTCCACACACGGCTCGAACAGTGGGGCTACCGGGCGTGCACCCCCACCGTACCACCGTACCAGACGTCCGTGTACGGTGGCATGGTGGACTGGATCTACCAGAGAGCATCGAGGATCCCCGATGGCCCCCTGGTGACCCGCTGTGTTGATGCGATCGGCCCGCGGATCAGCGATCACAATGCCGTTGTCGCCATGTGGACACTATAGGGTTTAAATGTTTTAGGGTTTAGGGTTTAGGGTTTAACTACCCTTTGCGCGGCAGGGCAGCTTGGGCTTTGTGTATTTCCACCTGGACGCTGACTCAATCGCGACCTCTTTTTGACCAGGCTGGTTGAAGGTCCCTGAGACAGTAAACAGTAGAGTAGAGTAGAGTTTAGACTAAAGTATTCCGAGTCGAGTTGCTTGCTTCCTATGAATATTAAGTTGTTCGGGGACAAGTTAATATTAAATGTGATAATTAAACGTTTCATCGAGCAGGACTGAGTACTGGGACCCAGTGGTGGTACCGTCTACGGGGTCTGACATAGTAGAGTACCTACCACTTATCATCCCTGTATCGGTAACCGGAAGAGTCGCTGTTGGGGTTGTACGTTGCCGCTTCACGCCAGACCACCCTTGTCGGCCTTGCTACAGCAATGTACGTCTTGCCGTTGACTCCCCTCTTCTTGCTTCCAATGCACGTGCGTGCAATGTATGGTGGCAGTCCCGTCTTTGTCCGTCCTTCGCGCGGCAGACATTGGTCTCCGTGGGTTCGGGGCAACTTGTCTGACTTTGAGTATTTCTGTCTGGACGTAGAATCGCTTATACGTCTGCCCAGGTAATCTTCGGACGCCGGCATCCGTTGTGCGGGTTTTGTTGACTTTGATCGGCGATCCCACTTGTTGTCATTGCGTTGTCGGGAGGATCGCGTGTTGTATCGGTCCTGGGGGGAAGAACTGCGTCGAGATTCCTGGTCGTAGTCGCGCGTTGGAGATCGCTCACGTCTTTGGGATTGCCCACGTACCGGGGATTGCCCACGTACCGGGGATTGCCCACGTACCGGGGATTGCTCACGTCTTTGGGATTGCCCACGTACCGGGGATCGCTCTCGGGGGAATAGTTTCATCTCCCGTCTGTTGTCACCACCACCATAACCTTCGTCACTTTCCTCTATATAATTTTTCCCCGACGTCCCCCGTCCGCCCCTACTACGAAGGTCTTTGCTCTTATCTATACGGTCGGTGCGTGGCTTGTAATCCATTAGATCCCCTCTCCGCACTTTGGTCCCGTGTCGAGACGTGTACGGCGCCACGTAGTAGTCCGAGTCCGAGTTCGAACTAAGGCTCAGATCAGACAGCATAGTAATTTTTTTTTATATTTTCTAGTGCTTATCGTTTTTGGTATCCGTGTTTTAATTACATGATATATTATTTATTTTTCCTTTTTTTTTATGTTTAGAACACTACACCATATTTCCCGTGAATGTCACACTCGACACATTCTTGGCAAACTGTTCGTCGTATCCGCACACAATGTCCCACTTCCCCCCCGCCCCCAGTCGGAACGAGTGCACCCGTCCCACAATGTCCCCCAGGCGCTCGCTCGGCCCCGCGTCCTCCGGCAGCCCCCGCAGCAGCTTCTCAAAGCACACCAGCGTCCGCACATGTCCCTTGCGGTCCTTGTCGTACCGGTCCCGCGCAAAGCTCTGCCGGTACACGTGCGCCAGCATCCGCGCAAACAGGTCCTCGAGCTCCCTGCGGTACCGCGCGTACAGCGCATTCTGCCTCTGACGCGGCTGGTACATCTCGTTGTAGTGTCGAAAGAACGTCTCCCGGTCGTCCCAGCTGTCGTACAGAGACACCAGCGGCGCGTGTCGCGCCAGCAGCGCACTCAGCAGAAGTGTGTGCATCGGAACGCAGATCAGCGGCAGCGTGTTCAGCGACAGCAGCGGCTGCAGCAGCGGCGGGTGCCCGCACGACTTGCACACCAGGGGCGAGCTCATCGAGCCCCGCAGCCGGTTCACCAGGCACAGCGTGCACGTCACAAACTCGCACTCCGTGCAGGCCACTGTGTCGCCCCGTGTGTTCTCGCACAGCCCACAGGCCACCGTGGCAGCGGCGCCCCCAGCACCCGGTCCCGACGTCTTGGTCCGCTTGGCGGGTCGCAGCGACATTCTACTTGTCTACTCGTCTATTCGTCTACTCGAAGGGTTCCACAGGGCGGTTTGTTCAAAAACCACCGGAAATGAAAAAGTGATCATCCCTCCAAACTCGCGTCTGCTATTTATACTACTTTTCCTCTTCTACTATCCCGCTTCTCCCGAAAACCGAATTTTCAACGCCTGTACACCTTGGCGTTCTCCGGGCAACACAATACTCTCTGTATACCCAAAAAACAAAAAACAAAACAATCCATGTCCGACCAAGACCTCGCTACTGCCCTGGCCCAGTGTCACCTCGACATTGTCGCCGCCCTCGGCATCGAACCGTGCCCGCCAACCTACGAGTCGTACATGCTCGACAGCGCCGTTGCCGAGGTCAAGCTGGCCTTTGACCTCATCCTAGTCGAGGACAACGACGGTTTGCAGATCCTGGCCGACTACCATGCGCAGAGCGCCGCGACCAAGTACCGGGCCATCATGGAAGAGATGGGCGTTGCCGACGACACCGGCTTTGTCGCCGCCCTCGGGCAGGGTGTCCTGGTGGCGCTCTCGTTTGTGAGCAACAAAATCGATTAAAAAAAACAAAAATCGATTAAAATCTCTTTTGCTTGTGACTAGAGTGGGTGATGTATAAAACAATCAAAACTATCAGAAATGGGCGTCAACGGCCTCTCGCGCTTCATCACCACCCACGGGCTCAAGACCCCCCACCCCCTGGAGGCCTTTGCCGGCACCGCCGTGGCCATTGACACCAACCACCTGTGCATGCGCTACAAGCGCGCCTCCGGTCGGTACTGGAAGTGGAACGTTAAACGCATCGACCGGCTCTTCCAGGAAAACGACATCAAGGCCATCTACGTGATCGACTCGCGACACAACCCGGACAAGGGCGCCCACCGAGCCGCCGCCGCCGCCGCCAGCGAGTCCGGCGAGTCCGGCAAGGGCAAGGGCAAGGGCAAGGCCAAGGGCAAGCCCAAGAAGGCCCGCAAGCCCAAGGCGAGGCCCGCGTACACGTTCGTCCGGACCCTCGTCGGCCGCACCCGCTTCGTGGTGGCGCCGGCCGAGGCCGAGGCCCACTGCGCCACCCTGCAGCGGGCCGGCATAGTGGACCACGTCATGAGCGGCGACAGCGACATCTACGCGCTCGGCTGCGGCTCCGTGCTCAACGACATTTCCTGCAAGGGCGACTCCGCCACCGTCAGCCAGGTCCTGCTCCCCTCCTTACTCGCCGCCGCCGGCGGTCTCACCGCGGACCAGTTCCGCGACGCGTGCGTGCTCTCGGGCACCGACTTTGACGCCGGCCTGCCCCGCACCGCCATGGTCAGGGCCATCAAGCTTGTCCAGACCCACTCCGACATAAACGCGGTGCTCGAGCAGTACTCGGACACCAACATGGTGAAGCGCATCCTCAATGCCAGGAAACACTTTGACCTCGCCTAAATTTTTAATTTTTTTTTACTAGAATAAATCAATAAAGGGAATATAAAAAATGAACGACCCCCTCTACTATGCCAACGAGGCCCTCACTGGCGAGACCGTCCCCGCCCTCAAAACGTGTGTAGGGCGCCTCGTCGTCAATGTGCGGGGCCGGCGCTACATGTTTGCCAACATTGACAACTGCGGTATGTTTATCCCGTTCGACGCCGCCAGTGCCAGTGGCCGGGTCCGGTTCTTCGGGACACGGAACCCGCGGAACATGGCCCTGCAGCACATGGTCGCCGGCCAGCTTGAGCATATTGTCATTGCACCCGAAGACCAGAAGTTCCGCTTTGCACCGACCGCGCCCACCGACTTTTCCAATGTCTTTGCGGTCACCCCGCTCACCTATGGCCAGAACATTGTCAACATGACCATCCGCAAAGGCACCCACTACCTCGGGCACGGCATCCCCGACGACAACGGCTACATGCAGGCCACCCTTACCCCAGACAGGGTCAGAATGGAGATTTTCCTCCTTGTCGAGAGTATCGGCGCTATGCGCGACACGGGTGTCTACTACAACAAGAACTACACGGGCGTTGTCGCCAACACGAGCGCCGACTGCATCGCCGAGAGGAACAAGTGGATCGCCACCCTGCCGCCCCCCAGCATCCACCACGCACAGGTCAAGCTTATCCTCGCCACCCCGTACGGCGAGAAGATGTGTCTCACCACCCGGGCGTTCGGCGGCGACAGCACCGCCGCCGCCGCCACCGCCGCCGCCGCCGATGTCGGCCGCCTGCACGCAGAGCCGCTCTACTACACAATGGACGAGCAGTCCACTTTCCTGCTCGAATACGTGAAGAACAACGAGTTCCGGGTGAGGGGACAGGGCGCCCAGGCCGGCAAGTACCTGGCCAGGGTCGGCGACAGCTACGACCTGGTGGGCGACATTGGCCTGGAGCGGACATCGCTCCTGCATCTGCGCATGCTCCACGGCGCCCAGAGCCAGGTCATGCTCGACATTACCCACGAGGGCCAGCCGCTCGTCCTGGTCAGAGACGGTCTGGCCGGCTACCTCCTGCAGCAGTCGCCCGCCGGAATCGATGCTAATACTGAGTCCCAGGCCATGCTAGTCTACGAGGGCCCGAACCTCCCCGAGTCCCCCTACAGCAAGCGCTGCTTCTCCGAGCTCGACACGCTCATCCAGGTGGCCAAGGTCGAGCGCCGCAAAGAGCTCGCCAAGCCCCTGTTTGCCACGCGGTACATTATCTACATGATTATAGTGGTCCTGATCCTGATCCTGGGCCGCAACATGCTGTTCAAGCCCAGCACGCCCAAAAAGACCTAGTATCCGACGTGGTCCTTGGTCTTGCCCGTGAAAATCAGAATCACCGTCAACAGCGTTCCCAGCACACCCGCAATGTACAGGTGCATCTTTTGCTCGCCAAACTCGGTCTTGGTAACCCCGTCGACCTCGACCGTTGGGGCCCTCGCGGTGACCATGGTTTTCGAGAGCAGGCTCGCAATCGCCATCCCCAGCAGCACGTAGCGGGGGAAGAAGAAGTAGATTCGCATGCTCACAAACAAAAGCGCGGCCGTCAGGACCATGACGGCGATCTTTTTGCGGTCCTTGAGCCCCTGGCGTCCGAAGACGGTGTACACATTAATGGGGATTTCCGGCAGCTGCGTGCCGTAGATTGCGAGCCAGTTGTACCCCATGTTTTTCATTTTATTCACAAGTGCTATATCCTAACAACAGGCAGGCGATTTCCGGCTTCCTGGCGCTGGCCATTGCCGTGCGGCCGTAGGCCCGTGAGTCAACTCGCGGGTCGGCCAGGAGTAGCCTCACGATCTGCATGGTCCCGACCTCGCACGCGTGGGAGAGCATTGTCCGGGGGCGTCTGGAACGCTGTCCGTCCACCGTAGCACCCGGGAGGGTGATGAGCTGGGTCGGGTCGACTCGCGGGTCGGCCAGCAGCAGTCGCACGACCCTCACGTCCTGGCTTGCGATCGCGCTCTGTAGGGCGAGGTTCTCAAAGTCCTCGGGGTTAAAGAGCGGATTGTTCAGCAGCACACGCAAAACCCCAACCTGGCCCATGCGCGCGGCCACCGCCAGGGCCGTGGAGCCGCAGGTGGCCATCTCCGGGGACATCAGCGAGGCCCGGATGCAGGGGTCCTGTAGCAGCAGGCGCAGGACGCCGACGTGCCCGTGGCGACACGCCTTGATCAGAGCCAGGCACTGGAACCCGTTGTTGGACACGCGGTCGTCCAGCAGGAGCACCCGCACTATGGCTGCGTGGTTGTGCTCCACGGCCTGCACGAGCGCCTCCGTGTTCCGCGGGCACGCCTTGAGCTTCTTGCCGGCCAGGATGCGCCTTACCGTCGACGTGTAGTTGTTGGTGGAGGCCACTATGAGCACCGTGCAGAGCAGGTCCGACGAGGCAAACGGGAAGTGGTGCAGCCTGGAAAACACTTCTTCATTTTCCCGAACTAGACACTGGACGATGAGCGTCTCGGCGACGTGCGCGTTGGTCTCCAGCACAAACACCAGCAGCTCCCGATTGGCGGCGTCAAACAGGTAGTCCACGTCCGCGTCTTCCAGCGCCGTCTTGCAGGTCAGTCCAATGTCATAGGCGCTGCAGTGCTCTGCGGGGACGAGGCGCACCGGGCCGCCGCGGAGGCTCACGTGCTTGGGCGGCGGCGTGGCGGCGTACTTGGGCGGCGGCGCGGTCGCCTTCCCCAGGAGGCTCTTGAATGCTTTTACAACCTTCATTGTGTTTTGTTTTCTTGTTTTCTACATATCTTTTATACACGCGCATACATGTATAAAAAACGATTTCTTTTTTTCGCCACTCTGCAACACATTATCACACACACACACACACACACACACACACACACACACACACACACACACACACACACACACACACACACACACACATACACGCACACAATGAAAGACCTCTTGAACGGGCGCAAGCTGTACCCGCACCAGCAGCGGGCCGTCGATGAGCTGCTCGGCACCCAGTGTGCGGCAGGCGTCTACTTCCTCAATGCACCCACGGGCTGTGGCAAGTCCATCATGTCTGTGGCTCTCTGCGCCAGCGCCGGCGGGAGCATTATTACAACCACCAAGGCGCTGCAGTGGCAGTACGAGGCCGACTTCCCCGAGGTCGCCCTGCTGATGGGTCGCGGCAACTACCAGTGTGCTCTGGCCCACGAGCACGAGCCCCTCGAGTACCGCATCGACGTCGGCGGCGTGACGAAACTAACTACTGTTCCCGTCGTCAACCCGTGCCCGCTGGACATTCGTCCCGCGTGGACAGACAAGGAGGGCAAGGCCGTCTACCCGACCGGCCCCCACTATGATGAGTGCGCCTACCCGGAGGCGGTGCGCCGCTTCACGGCAGCCCGTGTCACCGTTTCGAACTTTGCTCTCCACTCCTTCCGCCCCAAGGAGGCGGACTGCATCGTGGTCGACGAGGCCCACGAGCTCGAGGCTACCATGAGAGAGTGGGGCTCGCTGCGCCGGGCGCTGGATGAGAGGCCCATCGGTGGAATCTGTTTCCTCGCGAAGCGCCTGGCCAGCCGGTCCGCACCCTGCAAGGCCTTCTTGGAGGCGGCCCGCGACGTCCAGCCCCTTTCAGAGTGTATGTCCGGCGTGGACACCGACGAGGCCTCCGATGCCCCCCTCGCGTTCGGCTCGCCCATGTACAACGGACTCATGCGTTACCACGCGAGTGTCAAGGCGATGATGGGCATGCTCGCCCACGTCCAGGGCGCGCTGCTCAAGGGCAACGAGGACCCGGTCGCGGCGCCGCTCGCGAGGCTCGAGGCTCTCGACAAGAAGCTGTGCTGGGTCCGGGACGTGCCGCGCAACTACCTGGCCTCTCTTATGTCTCACTACAGCACGGGGGAGCGGGAGCTTCATGTCACACTACGAAACCTCGCCCCGATCTTTAAGAAGCTGTTTGGTGCCTACAGGCGCGTGTACCTGGTGTCGGCGACCATCGTGAACCCGGGGACGCTGTGCGCGGTGCTGGGCATCCGATACTCGGACACACACTCTGTCCACATGGAGTCGCAGTTCCCGGCGGCCAACCACGCGATCCGTGATATCAGCAACAACGTCCAGGTCCTGGCCCGCACGCTGCACGACCAGGTCAGGGACTGGCAGGCCGGCCTGATTGACACGATCCTCGACAAACACGCTGGCCAGAGGGGACTGGTCATGACGGCATCCCACGAGCATGCCGAGCTCATAGTGCGTTACACGAAGCCGCGGTCGAGCCGCCGCATGCTGCTCGTCAAGTCAAACCTAGTCCCCGTCCAGTGTGCGCTCGAGCTGGCAAGGGACGTCCCGGACATGGTGTACGTATCGAGCTCAATGCACACGGGCGTGGACCTGCCCGGCGACTTGTCGGAGTTCCAGATCATTGCCAAGATCCCGAGACTGTCGCCACACGACCCGATCGTCAAGTACAACCGGGGCAAGTTCGCGGAGTGGTACGACGACCAGGCGGCCATGGGGGTGATTCAGAGGCTGGGGCGCAGTGTGAGACAAAAGACGGATATTGTACATTCCTATTTCCTGGACCGGCTGACCGGCCCCATATTCCGCCGACTCCCCGAAACGATGGTTGTGCGGTTTGGCGCGATCGACGATATGAAATAAAATCACCCTACTAGAACTTTTAAAAATCAAATTTCAAATTTCAAATTTCAAAAACCTGGCCCAAAAACCTGGCCCAAAAAAAAATATGTCTCAAAAACTGTGTTTCAAAAATCATGTTTCAAAAATCATGTTTCAAAAATCATGTTTCAAAAATCATGTTTCAAAAATCAAATTTCAACAATCACGCTTCAAAAACCTGGCCCAAAAATTGTGTCTCAAAAACTGTGTCTCAAAAATCATGTTTCAAAAATCACGCTTCAAAAACCTGGCCCAAAAATTGTGTCTCAAAAATTGTGTCTCAAAAATTGTGTCTCAAAAACTAGGTTTCAAAAATCATGTTTCAAATTTCAAATTTCAACAATCACGCTTCAAAACCTGGCCCAAAAATTGTGTCTCAAAAACTGTGTCTCAAAAATCATGTTTCAAAAATCACGCTTCAAAAACCTGGCCCAAAAATTGTGTTTCAAAAACATGGCTCAAAAAATACGTTTCAAAAACATGGCTCAAAAAATACGTTTCAAAATCATGTTTCAAAAAATCAAATTTCAATGTACAATTTTAAAACGTCGACACTCAATGAATTGAAAAGGCTCGAGATGTATGTGCGGATACTCGAGCTCGTCGCGTGTAAAGAATGTCAACGGGTGGAACGTGTCAAGGCCGAGATCACGCTCCTGGAGCGATATAAACACGAACAAGAGGATGACGCTAGAAGTAGCAAGATACGGACTGGCGGCTTATAATAAAACTAGAATAAAAATAAAAATGGTATATACGTATCTAGGGAAACAACTCTTGTCGAGATTAGAAATCGATGAAGACGAGATTGTTGACACGATGGAGATTCTGGGAATTGGTCAGCAGTACGACACTGACGTGCGTGCAAATCTTGTCGAGCTAATGACGCATCGCCTCAGTGGAGAAAAAAAGTGCTCAAGTGCCCAGGCTGGCCATGTGTTTGAGGTTTACATGAACAAGTGTGATACTTTCAACAAACTCGCACGAAAAGTACGTCTACTACCAGATGTCATCGATCTGCGGTATTTTGGAGCCCCAAAGCTGTCGACGTCGCTCGTGTGTATTGCAAATATGGACAGGATAATACGCGAATGTCCCCGTGACCCAAAATTGCGCTGGGTATATCGAGGAGTCCACCCGGATAGAATTCAAATTGTGCATACGTTAACATCAGACCGCCATCTAGCAAACCGGTACGAGTCCGCGCTTGTAAACTACGGCTTCACGTCGTGTACAACAAACATACACCAGGCGAACCGGTTTGCGTCTACGGAAAAGAAGTGCTGTATACTCCGATTTCGCATACCCGAATCAGTTGCGTATTTTGACGCTCGCAAAATAAACACAATGGGCGAGGAAGAACTTGTGATTAGACGCAACACGACATTTTCGGCCTTCAGGCCAGTCTTTCGCCTGGATGATGATACACAGGTGATTGAGTGCGTATTGAGGATATCGCCTGCACCACTGGCCGACTATTTGACATGAATGTGTTTCAAAAACATGGCTCAAAAATTGTGTTTCAAAAACACGTTTCAAAAACACGTTTCAAAAACTAGAGCTCAAAACTCATGTTTCAAATTTCAAATTTCAACAATCACGCTTCAAAAACCTGGCCCAAAAATTGTGTTTCAAAAACTGTGTTTCAAAAACCCGGCTCAAAAAATACGTTTCAAAATCATGTTTCAAAAAATCAAATTTCAATGTACAATTTTAAAACGTCACACTCAATGAAATATGTATTTTGAAAAAAGTAAATGCCAGTGTTCAAGGAGAAGGGGGAACGACTGCTCGCAGCGCTGAACATTTCACGACAAACAACGCACTCCTATCCCTACTATGCATCCTTGTCCCGCGAGCACTTCATGGAGGCCGTTTGCGAGGTTGGACGTGTAGTCGGTGAGTCGATAACGCTTTCCGATGATCCGTGCGCCAGCCTGGTGTACGCAATGACAATGCACGTCGCCGGTGAAAGGAAATGCGGCAGCGCGGACGCTCGCCACGTCCTTGAGGTGTACATGAACAGCCGCGAGACCTTCAATAAACTCGCGCGTGACCTCGTGTTGCCTGACCGAATCCCCCTCGGGTACTTTGGCTCACCTGCCAATGCAACCGGGCTCGTGTGTCTCACAAACATGGACCGAATCATTCTAGAACACGGGAATCAGTCACAGAACGATGGACTCGGCTGGGTATATCGAGCTGTTCCCCCCAGCCTGGTGGAAACGATCACATTGTTCGCGGTAACACAGCAAGAAGAGTTCCACGCAGCGCTGCTCAACTTTGCTTTCACATCATGTACAACGGATCTGGAGGTGGCCAGTCGACTAGTGTCTCGTGACCGCGGGTGCTGTGTGCTTGCGTTCCAGATCCCAGAGGAGGTCAACTACTTTGACGGCCGTGTCTTTAACACGATGGGGGAGGGGGAGATTATCATTCAACGCAACACGTATTTCAGCAACTTCCAGAAACCCGCAGACCCTGTGAACGGGATCACGGTGGTAGAGTGCACACTGGATTTGCTCCAGCGCCCGCTATCCATCTACATTTCAAAGGTGCGCTGACTCGTGACTGACCAGACAAGTCAGGCTATCAATTCACCAAGGTCAAAAGTCAAAATCAATAAAGTTTATTTATTAATGTACAAGAGTCTATACAACAGTAGAGGCTACACCGCACAAGCAAGGGGCCCTAGAGCCCCATGTCCACTCGGCTCATCACAATCCCCGCCAGCGGGAGCACCATCTTCCCGGGCTCCACCGTTACCGGCACGCGTCGGCCCGTCAGGCTCTCGATCGCCGACATCGTCGTCTGTGCCACCATCTTTGTCAGCTTGTCAATGGCCGCCCGGGACTCGGCCGCCGTCGCCCTCTTCTCGCTCAGCTCCAGCAGCAGCGCCACGCCCACGTCCGTGTACTGCAGCACCGCCGTGTACAGGCACGCCGCGACCGCCATCTTGTCACTCGTGGTCCGGAGCATCCTAGTGTTGGCGACCTCTCCGAGGTGGTGGCACAGGAAGCGCACAGTGTTCTGCGGAGAGACCCGGCTCTCGTAGTCCCGCAGCTTCGGCAGGTCCATGTCGCGTACCTGGACCAGGTACAGCACAAACTTCTCAATCACGGGGTTGCCGGGGTCCCGGATCACCCGCTCGCTCGCCTCCCCAAACCCCATGCACTCGCCGTCCAGCGCAGCTCCTCCACCTCCGCCTCCCCCTAGGCCCTGCTCCACGTCCACGTCCCCGTCACCCCCAAGCACAATCCGCGCACCTCCCTTGCGCAGGTACTCGGCGTAGTGCGGGTTGTGCACAAACCCGCTCGTAATCCGCTTCCCGGTAGCGTACGAGAACAGCGTTCGGCAATCTTGCATTGTGCAGAACATCTGGTCGCAGCCCGCAACCTTGTTGATAAGGGCGCCACAGTTCCGGTTGGGACACGCTGTCGTCGTCGATCGCAGGTGCGTCACCGTCGCCAGCTCGTCCCTGTCGCACACGTGGCTGTCCAGAAGCTCCATGGCCAGGGCATTGAGGTTGATCATCCGCATCTCCGCGCTGTACGAGCTGGCGCCCTCGACCCCCAGGTCCTTCATGCAGCAGGGGCAGTAGCCCTTGCGACAGTCCACGCACAGCCCCGACTCCCCCAGCTTGCCTCTGCACCTTGGCGTCCCACACCCAACGAGAGCCTTCTTCACCGGCTGCGCGTCCGGCTCGGCCTCCACCACGTTCTCCCGAAGCAGCGCGTTAATATACTTTAGAATGACCTTGACCGGCACCAGTGCAAGGTCGAACTTGCCGTTCTTCCACGCCACCGGCACCGCCTTCGGCCCCATGGCCGCCACGCACATGTCCGTGGTGTCCATCTCGGACCGCCGCTTCTTCACAAGCCCCCGGGCAAGCTGTGGAGCCACTCCCATATCGTGCACAGCCCCGCGTATGATGGTCGCAACGTTGACAAGGGGCTCTGCGTTCCGGTTGGGCTCGTCGAGCTGCAGCAGGAACCGGTCCCCCCACGCGGAGTACTTGGCCCGCACCGGCTCCGGCAGCCCCCGGGTCATGGCGGTGGTGTAGCGCTCATTGCACGACATGCACGTCGGGCCCGACTTGCTGGAGGTGGCCGCGTTCCGCACCATGCAGAGGCTACACTCGTGTAGCAGGCAGAACGGGCACCGCACAAACGGCGTGTCGGGCATGTCGGTGCTGTCCATGCAGCAGATCGTGCACTCGACGACGGGCATTTTTAGCCGGGAGAGTCGGACAGCCGCGTAGAGGAGGAGTGCCACACAGGTGTAGAAGAGACTATAGTATCGAAGTGTGTACAGTACCACTGGTGCTAGGTGCATGTACACAGTGGCTGTAATCAAAATCAAAAGTATGATTGTGATTATGAATACCCTGGTCATTCTGCTCGTGCTATATATACAAGAAACGGGCCAGAGTACAACGACCATCAGCCAGTCCTGGCTGATGAGCCGCTGTTTTTGATTTTTGGTCACGTCCAGGTGTTCCCACCGGCTCCCGTCCCGACCTGTGCACGTGTCTGCCGGGTTTTCGACTTTAAAACGATACAATTATTTTGAAATAAACAGATGTATTTTGAAAAAAGTAGCACAATTGGATCACAGTGTCTGTGCGATTTAGTAGACAATGTCCCAAAGCCAATTGGGATGCGACCATCGCTCAAGAGTGCATTGTTCTCCGCTGCGGCTGGCGACAAGCAGTTGCAATGTTGTGTGACCCAAATTATCAACGTCGTTGAAAAGTATGCTGTGGAACAGCAACAGACCACAATATACTCTTGGGCGGCGAGCCGGTGTACCTTCCTCGAGTGTCTCCAGTCCCTGTTCAAGAAAATCCGTCTATCCGACAAGAGATGCGAATTTCTGCTGTACTTGAAACAGAACCAGTTTGCGCACAAGCTCGAGTTCTACACGATATGTCTGGAGCTAGGCGTGTACGACTGGAACCAGTGTTATAGAGACACCCAGTTGGATTTGCTGCGAGTTCTGCTGATTGCCCTTGCTAACAGAACCAAGGAGGACGTTGATTTGACGGCTATGCAAGCGTACGTGCGGAACAGCGAAAGGAGGCGCGAGTCAAAGGTCGAGAGACGGGCGATATCAAAGATCGAAGACTCGGACCTCGACGGCATCATTGAATTGAAAACACTAGAGATGCATGTGAGGAAACTCGAGTTGGACGTGTGTAAAGAATGTCAATCGTATTTCGTGGACGGGTTTAACGTGGACGCACATCAGAAAAGGGGGGAACGTGTCAAGGCCGAGATCACGCTCCTGGAGCGATATATACACGAACAAGAGTGTGACTCTAGAAGTAGCAAGATACGGCGACTGGGCTGAGGGGAGCCTTGATCGATTTTTAAAAATAAATAAATAAACAACTCACAAATCGCGTTCTAAAAATCACCTCCAAAAACCCGACTCACGTCCACGTGTTCCTACTCGCCCCCGACCCCTCGTCAGGGTGCACGTGTCCACCAGCGTACCCTTGGTGTTGTAGTACTCAAACTTGACGCTCGCCGCACCCGCGGTGCACTTGAGGGCCCCCTGGCTGTTCGGGAGCACGTCGTGGTGCGCGTGGACCGTAAACCCGGACGCCGCCGTCACGGAGCCCTCGCAGCTGTCCTCGGCCCGGTCGCCATCGTTCTTGCCGGACCCGGTCATGAAGGCCATCATGCCGCCCCACCCGGCCAGCTTGCCGTACGACTTGCCGCCGACCTGGTACTCGACGCTTTCGTCCGGATACGAGTACCGCCCCATGCCGTGGTCGTGGCCCGTAAAGATAGCGTCGATGCCCTTCTCGGCGAGCGGGAACACAAACAGGTCTGCCTCGCAGCTGCCCGCGCAGCAGTACCTGAAGGTGCTGAACGGCGACCAATGGTTGACGAGGAACCTGAACTTGACGGCCGTGTTGGCCATGGACGCAGTAAGCGCTATGCTAAGCCAGGTGTACTGGCTCGACCCCTTGCTGAACCCGCCGCCACCCAGGTCAGACGTCGTGGCCAGCACAAACCACTGGATGTTGCCCATGATAAACGTGTAGTACGGCGCACCCTCGTAGGACGGGACTATCACGTTGCCGGGCAGCGCCGTGCCCGGCTTGAGGTTAAAGTACTCAATGAACGCGGCGGCGTCGTCGCCGCTGGCCATGTCGTAGTCGTGGTTGCCAATGGCCGGAAAGATACGCTTGGCCGCCAGCAGACCGGCAAAGTGCTTGCCGATGCCGGCCTTGAACCCCGCGTGCCCCGCGGGCCCCTTGGTATCGGGATCGGTGTAGTCGAGGTCACCCGCAGTGACGAGGTACGCCGGGCCCCAGGGCGCGGAGAGCGTGGCGAGGCTCTCGTACACGTCCTGGTCAATATCCGACACTACCATGAATGTGAGACTAGAGGTGTCCGTGCTGACAACAGTGCCCGCACTAGAGCTTGAGTTTCCCGTGTTGGAGACGACAGTGCCTCCCGTGTTGGAGACGACAGTGCCCCCACTCGAGTTCTCTGTGTTAGTAGTGGTGGTAACATCGGTATCCGTGGTACTCCCTGATTTGTTGTAGAGTATAACACCTACAACGATACCCACGATCAGGAGGATAGCAAGGCCACCAACGGCAATCCAAACCCCAGACATTTTTATAGTATGTTCAGTATGCTCTAAGTCTCATTCCATAAAAAAAAAATCTTGCTTGAAGTGTGGGATAATTTTTTTTATTGATAAACGCTAAAACTACAACACAACACAGTGGTCACACTAGGGTCAAAGGTACAAGCGCGGCGACTTGTCCAGATTGCCAAGGTTCAGTGGTCGTACTAGGGTCAAAGGTACAAGCACGGCGACTTGTCCAGATTGCCAAGGTTCAGTGGTCGTACTAGGGTCAAAGGTACAAGCACGGCGACCTGTCCAGATTGCCAGGTTCAGTGACCACGCCACGATCAGAGGACAAGCACGGCGGCTTGTCCTCATCACTAGGTTAGGCTACAAACACAAACACATTACAAACACAAACACTTTAGACTGGTTTAGAGTAGTCTGCCAAACTCGGTAGCAGTGGCAGTGATTCTGGCAAGCCGTGCAAACCCGGCTGTAATAGGTCCGACTGCAGGGGAGGCAGGCCGTCCGGCTGCAGGGGAGGCAGGCCGTCCGGCTGCAGGGGAGGCAGGCCGTCCGGCAGCAGTGTCGCACCTTCTACCAGGTGCAGGGAAAGCAAAGCGTCAGTTTCTTCCAAGGATGGCAAGACTGACCAGTCCACGGTGTCAGACTCGCCCCTAGCCTTTTTGACAGCATCTCGATCCTCGACACTGTCACGTGTGCGCTTCCGACTAGGCGGTGGCCCCGACAGGTCCTTGGGCCCATCGTCAGCAGCGTCCACGCTCTTGGACTCCTTCGATGTGTCCTTGGGCTCCTTGGCAGTCTCGGTCTTCGGCGGGTCCTTGGGCGCCCTGGTCTCCTTGGCCGGCTCCTTGGACGGGTCCTTGGGCTCCTTGGCAGTCTCGGCCTTCGGCGGGTCCTTGGGCGCCCTGGCCTCCTTGGCCGGCTCCTTGGGCTCCTTGGCAGTCTCGGCCTTCGGCGGGTCCTT